GTGTGTGTGTGTGTGTCCAAATATCACCTATTTCTCTCTGTTTTCCACTGCCTCAAACAAACTCACACAGAGTTCATATGTCAGCTGTTGTGTTTTATGTCTAGAGAAGCAGGGGAGTCTGATAAAAAATAGATAAAAGTGTATTTAATGGAAGGAGGAGAAAGCCTAGACAGAGTATAAGCTTTTAGCCTGAGGAATTAATTTCGACAGAGAGCTTTTATTCAGGTTTTTCTTCTGTTTCACATCCATCCAAAAACACACTTTTGTTCCATGAGCATTTTCACTTGCTGCGTCTTACATAAATTGCAAACCGCAGAAAATAATGTCACGCACCATGGTCAGTAAACATAGTTATCAGTTAAAGTGCATTTCCTGTTCACTTATCTTGTAAATGCTTCATTAATTATCACAGGTTTGAACTGAAGGAAAAGGCTAAGATTTCTGTGAGCCCGTAATAAGATCCAGCTGTGCTTTGAACTCAGTGCTAACGACAGCGTGCTAACATGCTCACAAAGACAATGTCGACATGCTAAGCAGGTATAACGTTTACCATGTTTCACTTAACATAAAGTACGGCTGAGGCTCATGGTGATATTTTCAGTTTTGTAGGTATGTGGTCAAATTTTCAGCTGATGATGGCAGTACTGGGGAAGTTAAGGGACAGCCAGAACTGATTATAGTTCTGAGGCGCCCGAATAGCTCGCCTGGTATAGCTGGCGCCCCATATACAGAGGGTGAGTCCTTTCTTTTCAACTCTGACCTGTGGCCCTTTGCTGCGTGTCATCCCCTCTCTCTCCTCAATAAAAAGCACAAAACCCCCCCAAAGATTGTAGTTCTTCCTGAACAGGACATAAAAGTCTGTACTAAATGTTATAGCAAACCATCCACTAGCTATTCATTTCAGTTTGGACCAAAGTGGTGGACCAACCAATCAACACTGCCATCCCTAGAACCACAGCGCTTATGTGGCCACAAATATAATGGTGTACCAACATTTTCAAAAAGCAGGTGAACCACTCTTCCCACCATAGCATTAAAACAAATCTCTTCCTCCTTCCCTGATTCTCAACAGTGATACTGAATAATACGCCACTGTAATATATTCATATAGGTAACAATTACTGATGCTAATTTTGAATTTCTGTCCTGCACACACTCTTCTGTTTCATTTCATTCATCTGTCTGTTTTTCAGGAGGTGGAGATTCTCGACATGAGCACCATCAGGGACACGAGAACAGGAAAATACGCCAAACTACCAAAGGTTGGTAACGTGTGTGTGTGTGTGT